AAGATAAGGGAAAGCATGACACTCTGAGTTCAAGTTCCAAATAAAAGGAAGAAGAAAAGAAAAACGCTGATATGAGGGGCTGGGAAGGTGGCTCAGTGGTAGAGCACTTGCCTTGCATGCCTGAGGCCCTGGGTTCGATTCCTCAGCACCATATAAGCAAAAAGAAAAAAGCCGGAAGTGACACTGAGGCTCAAGTGGTAGAGCGCTAGCCTTGAGCTGAAGAGCTGAGGGACAGCGCCCAGGCCCAGAGTTCAGGACCCACGACCGTACCCAAAAAAAAAAAGAAGCCGATATGACAGAAAGTAGGGTTACAAGTACGCTAGTCAGACTAGAGCTTACTGACAACATAACAGAAACAGAAATCTGGAGAACAGGAAGGCAGCTATCCAAAAACAGAAGAAAAGAACACTTCAGACACAATCACAACACAAAGTTGTATAAGAACATTGTGTTGACAGGCTGGGAAGGTGGCTCCATGGTACAGTGCTTGCCCTGCATGCATGAGGCCCTGGGTTTGATTCCTGAGCACCACATAAGCTGACAAAGTCAGAAGTGGCACTGTGGCTCAAGTGGTAGCACGTTAGCCTTGAGCTGAAGAGCTGAGGGACAGCACCCAGGCTAAGAGTTCAGGCACCCCAACAGACCAAAAAATAAAAGAAAGAATTGTGTTGGCAAAATAAAAAAAGGCTAAAGGTAAAGATCACAAGAGTTTAAATATAACTGATTTCAATTCTTTTATTTTTGAACATGACGATAGATACTTAATATGGCCTCAAGATCAGAACATCATACCTTCTAAGTGTAGATAAAAAGACTATTAGATTCTATGATCAATACCATCAAAAAAAACTGTAAATGACATGCTCTAAATTTTATTGACTGTGTCCATCAGTGTCAGTACCTGTGTAAGGAAAATTACATTTCTAGTTCTGTGTAAGAGGGGTGTATTACCAACATGAAACATTAACCCTTATTTTGTTTTAAATTTCAAACTAATGTTTTCAGAACTGGAATTTCTTTTTTTATGCTTAGATTTCCTATTTTTTATTGTGAAAATACTGTACAGAGGGGTTACAATTACATGGGCAAGATAATGAGTACAATTTTTATCAAGCATTGTAGCCTCCTCCTTTGTTTCCCCTTCCCATCCCTTTCCATCCTCTCCACTGGAATTTTTTTTTTTTAACAAACATTTTTTATTGTAAAAGATACTGTATAGAAGGGTTAGTTACATGAGTAAGGTAATGAGTACACTTCCTATCAAGCATTGTTATCCCTTCCTTTGTTTTTCCCTTACCATCCCTTCCCTCCCCATCTCCCCAATTCCTCCCACACCTCCCTCCCCGCCCCAAGTTGTAAAGTTCATTTCCAACATAGTATCTTGTACATGTCATTGTTACAATGGGTCAACCTGTATTCTTATTTCGGCATTTTGTTATTTCCCTTTCCCTCCCCATATCAGAAAAATGTATAAACATGATATAGGGCATGGGAATCAACTATAGTGAAAACATGGGTTATACCATGGGGGAAGAATATACAAAAGAAACCAAAAAGAAAAATCACATAGTACATTATAAGTACATTAAAAACAACAGCAACAAAGATAAAATCTCTTGTGTCCCTATCTTGGGGTTCATTTCTCTTAGCATCATCTTATATGGTCATATGCACATAGCTTTTGACCTTTTCTGCTTGTCCTCAACTTATACTAGTTACTGTAGATAAGGGAAACCATGGGACCTATGTTTCTTTAGGCCTGGCTTACTTCACTTAATATAATTTTTTCCAAGCCTTTCCATTTCCTAACAAATGGGATGGTGTCATTCTTTCTGATGAAGGCATGGAATTCCAATATATATATAATATCTACTAAGGGACATTTGGGTTGATTCCATATCTTAGCTATGGTGAATAATGCTGTGATTAGCAAAGTTGTGCTGGTAGCTTTAGTATGGCCTTGTTTGTGATCATTTGGGTAAATACCCACAGAACTGGAATTTTTATCTTTCAAAATTAAAACTTTTTGTTGTTGTTTTAGACTTAATGAAGTATTGCTAGCAGGAGCCAGTCTGACATGTCAGACTGATTAGAGGTGTGCAACCTGATTAAAACCAAACCCTAAACCATTTTAAAGAAAAATAAAACATTTTAAATGATAAAAAAATAAAAAATAGTTGATTACTTGGGCAGATACTGAGTTTTCTTGTTTTGACTTACTATTTCTCCTTACATTACTTTCAATAAAGTCTGATTACTTCTAGGTATTTTTAACTATTATTTCTAATTTTATTAGCTTAGAGTAACCAAACTACTGAAATTCTGGATTTTTTTTTTGGGGGGGGGGGGGGTCCAGTCGTGGGCCTGAACTCTGGGCCTGGGTGCTGTCCCTCAGCTCTTCAACTCAAGGCTAGCACTCTACCACTTGAGCCACAGCGCCACTTCTGGCTTTTTTCTTTTTGCTTATGTGGTGCTGAGGAATCGAACCCAGGGCCTCAGGCATACAAGGCAAGCGCTCTACCACTGAGCCACCTTCCTAGCCCCTCTACTAGATTCTTTAATTCTGCTTATTTCCCAAAGCTGTGTATTAGTCTGAAACAAATGCTAGAAAGCAAAAACTTGATTATTTCACAGCACTCATCATTCAAAACAAAGCATCTGGTCTAGCTGATTTTAGTGAAAAGATTACATGTTCTAACATGCAGAAAGTTATTTTGCTGGGCTGGGAAGGTGACTCAGTGGTAGACTGGATGCCTTGCATGCATGAGGCCCTGAGTTTGATTCCTCAGCACCACATAAGCAGAAAAAAAAAGCCGGAAGTGGCACTGTGGCTCAAGTGGTAGAGTGCTAGCCTTGAGCTGAAGGGCTGAGGGACAGCGCCCAGGCCCAGAGTTCAGGTCCCACGATCGGACCAAAAAAAAAAAAAAAAAGTTATTTTGCTCATGTACAAAGTTCATTATTCTCTACCACAGGATATTCAGAAAGAACCAATGACAGTAACCTAATAGCTTTTCCCATCTCCATCCTAGTATGGTCTAAAGAGAAGACAAAAACGGTAAAGTTAATGGATGTATAGCAGGAATTTACAGGAATCTGTAGAGTAATGGGTATTCTGAAATGATTTGATAAATGTGAAAATTTCATAATTGAGTTTCTTCTAGACAGAATAGTTTGCAAAGTTCTGCAAGAGAAAAATCTTTGCATATAGGACTAGAAATGACAATTCAATCTGAATTAAGATGTTACTTGGTCATGATTGCTATTTATTTTCTATCCCTACCTTCCCAATTTAAGGCGCTAATATAGTACAGTTCATTGTTTGTCTTCTATTAAAATATTATGAGTAACATGAGACATAGAAATTGGTATGTTAGTTCCTTGATTTTTGACTCCTTTATGAAAAAAGTAAGAAACCTTGCAACCATTCTTACCAATTCAAGAAAATAAAGAATGTATCTTCCTTAGTACTACTCTGTATTTTTTTAACTCCTCAGACTCTTCAATATCACACAGGTAGCCAGACAGCAAGAGTTAGGCCTGATCATCTCTGGATGATCAGAACAGTAGTCTGACTCAACAAAGGGCCTACTCTGAACCTGGAGCTGGAGTATGGGTCAGTGGTAGTAAACATAATTGGCATGAAAGAGGCCCTGGATCCAGTCTCCAGCACCAAAATATAAAATATAGATAGTATTCCTGCTGGTAAGATTGTGCTTTTTAAAAATCATACATTCTGTGCAAATGTATCAATAGCTTTCACATTGTCAAGTCTCTTTTTCCTAGTATATTTTCTTCACCAAACACAAATGCTATAAGAATTAATCCACAGCACCAAAAAAATAAAAAGGATTTTTATAAAAATCTGGACCTCAACAGACATCAAACAGACTGGCTTTTGATTCTCAGATCTCAGCCTCCAGAGTAGCTAGGATTACAGGCATGAGCCTCCATGACCCTGTACCTATGGATTTTTTTCTCTCTAAGGCCCATCTTTTCTTTTAAATTTTGCTTTTTAGTTACTTAATCTTTTCTGTAGTATGAGATAACGATCCACTTTTATTTGCATCTATATAATAATTCTATTTTCTGTACAAAATCTGCTAAACAACTTGACTCTTCCCCAACTGACTTTCAAGAGAATGAATTTCACTCCCAATAAAATATCTAAGCAGAGGAAGAGGAAAAGAAATTAAAGAGTAAGAAATAGAGAGGAAAAAGAAACAGTTACATATAACACAAGCATAAGAACTTAGCTAGGGAAGGGCTAAGAAAAAAATGAAGCTACTGGAAAATTCCTATGCATCATGTCATATTTACTCAAATATGCAAGAATTAAATGGCCAGGTAGGGTGATATACAACTGCTATCCCTGTACTAGTAAAAGTAAAATGAGAAGATTAAGAGTTTAAGAATAGTGTGGACCACACTGGGGAAGACTCTGTCAAAGAAGAAAGAAGATGGAGATGGAAAAAGGGAGCAAAGAGGAAAAATATAATGGAGAGAGCATGTTCAATGTACACTGTAAGCATCTACAGAATTATCACAATAAAATCCCTCTGTACTATTAATGTATGCCAATAAAAAAGGAAGAAAAAGTAGTAGTAATAAGTAACAAAGGATAACTAAAACCTATTTTTTATTGTCTAGCTCTGATACTTCGGGGAATGCCTATTTAACATAATACCACAAAGCTTCCAGAGGTTAGACCATCTTCTGTTAAGCAGTAAGTTGGACTGTATTTCACTTAGCATTTGTCCTTCTAGACTCAACAAAAATGAGAGGAGAGCAAACATTATAAGTATCATACAACTATTTAACAACTTTCATTTTTCCCTGAACATGGAATTTTCAGGTGACTCTAAACATACTACTGTCTATTATTTCAGCACTTCTACCAGATTTTTCACACATGAATTTACTGAATTCAAAGCTCCATCCCATTACTGACAGTGATGCAGATAATGTGAACTATTCTCCACAAGAACATTCTTAAAACATACCTTTTACTTTCTGCCAAGTTGGCTCCTTCTTCCTTCAGCTGCTTACTTTTCTCAGCACAGTCTTCCTGGAGAATTTCTCTCCTACGTTTAGTGGCATGAAGCCAATTCCCTTCATCATTCTCAACCCCATCCTTCTCATCAGCAGCCTCAGCTTCAAACTGCTGGGATGTGGCCTTCGACACCTTCTCACCAATCTTCCTCTTCCACCCAAAGGAAGCCATTCTGGGGGGAAAAAAAATCACACACACACACACACACACACACACACACACACACAAAACAAACAGCTTTAATATTCAAACGTGGCCAATAAAAGATAAAAGATAAATAAAAGATAAAAAGATGAAACTGTCACCATTTTTAATAAGTGGACCTAGGCAATAATTAAGAACTGCTAAAAGTCACAAAGAAAGATGACTGGATGTTACATCATTGTACTCCCTAATGAAAACAGTATGCCACCCTTTGAGCATTCTTGCAAAGACTAATTCTGAATTAGATTCAACTTCTGCCAGTTTATAAGAAATATGGGACCAGAAGCCAAAAACGCAGGCCTATAATCTAAGCTACTCACAGGCTGAGATCTGAGATGGGGTTCAAAGTCAGTTCAGGCAGACAAATTTGAGATTCTTATTTCTAATTAACCAAAAAAAGCTGGAGGTGTAGCCTAAGTGTGTTTATAAAAGGAAACCATATCTTTCAAAAAATACATGTTACTACCTTATAAAATCTTCAGCTTATAAAAATATTTCACATGAAATTATGTGTCAAGAATCATTTCAAAAAATAAACGGGTGAGGAATGCAGGGAAAAATGTGAAATAAAATTGTTCTGAAAGGCTAACTGATGAAGACAGATGTCAATACATAGGATTCATTGTTCTTTTCATTGTTCGTTTCTCTTTTCATGACAATGTCATGCCCCAAGCTCAAGCCCTAGTACTGGCACAAAAAGAAAGAAAAGAAAAATTGCTAAATCATTTGGCAGGCTTATCAGGTAAATTTTTAAAAATAACAGATGTTAAATTGTTTTGTGAATCTACAATGATATACAAATATAAGGGATGAGAAAAGATAGACTAAATAAATGCTGAAAGTATTTAACAAATATTTAATTAGGGAAAGAGCTGAAAAATTCAACAATATATTAGTTGCACAGCTGGGCATCAAGCTACTTAGGAATCTCTAGTGAGTAAATATTTTAAATACTGTGTGCGTTCTGGAGAAGAGTGTCTACCCCTTCATTCCATTCTTAAAGGAATCTGTAATCCCAAAGACATGATCAACTGACAAGCTAGAGCACTGGGAAAAACAAATGAAATAGAGAATAAATCCTAGCAGATATCAAAGTCCTTACCACTGAAATATAGATGAAATAAAGTGTAAGTAATCACGTAAAGAAAGAGGAACCAGCCAGGAGATGGTGGTGCCTGCCTTCTAGCTACTCAGGAGGCTGAGGAGTGAGGATCCTAATTCAAAGCCAGAGTAGGCAGGAAAGTCCCTGAGGCTCTTATTTCCAATCAACCACCAGAAAACCGGAAGTGGCACTGTGGCTCAAGTGGTAGAGTGTTAGCCTTAAGCAAAAGAGCTCAGGGACAGCACCCAGGCTCTGAGTTCAAGCTCCATAATTGACCAAAAAAAAAAAAAAAGGAGGAGCAACAAAAGTTGAGGAATGCTGTAATTGGCTTGTCAAAGCTCAACATAATGGCAAAAATCTAGAGGTATAAAAATTATGGATCATGGATCTAAATTCTTAATAAATCTGATAAAACCAATAACTCACAACAAAAAATGTACTGTATAGGTCAACCACATACTTCCCAAAGAAGTAAAAATTTTGAGAAAAATTTGAAGAACCAATATAAACTACACTAAGAAATTTAAATGATGAAAACTTTCTACATAGACTCAATACAGAGAACAAATTTCTTCTGTTAGAAAATAACTTCTCTATCCTAAGGCAAGAACCAAGAAATGGCTAAAAACCAGTGTACTAAGGAAAACAAGTCCAGAGACAGAGAGAGGTCAAACAGGGAGAAGGCATTAGCAGGATAAGAAAGATTAAAAAGTGTCCTTATATTTATGATTGTCTCTATAGGTAAAAAGAATTATGATTACAATTTTCTAGATTCAAGTTTCGAAACGAAGCTATGTTTCTTTACTAGCAATGTGTGATACCAAAGCAAAACTCTAATACTAAAAGAAATCTGATGCATTCACAAGGAAAAAACTGTCAAAGTTCAAGTATGGTGAAATATGTCCACATGAAACTGATCCTGAGTGTGAGGCCACACACGATCTACAGAGCAAGTTCCGTGCTAAACTGGGTTAAATAGTAAGACTCGAAAGAATGAAAAATATAAACAATTATTGACTTTGCTGATTATTAGTAACAGGAGATAAGGTGTGTGTGAAAGGAAAAAGAAAGACCAAATGTATTATTTTTATTTAATAGGTCATTCAGAGTCCCACTATCCTCCCCATCTTCCAGATAAAACCAACTGTAACTGTTGAAAACAGGTATAAGGCCCCCAGTGCCTGTCTCAGTCATGTATGAAAAAAGCCTGCAAGGCCTGTTGCTTCATGCTTACATCATTCTCGCCCACATTTCTTGAAACTGGAAACTGTAACAGATCATGAAAGAATGAAAGCATAAGGGTATGAAGGCCTGATATCACAAGAAATAAACAACTGTAGCCTTGGGAAGAGTCAAGAATACATTCCTTTTATCTTGCCCATGTAGTTGCAACCCCTTTGTATGGTATTTTCACAATAAATAAAAAAATACATTCCTTGCCGACATTAAATGGAGTCAATATTACCTGAGAGATGGGAAATAAAATATGGTTACGAATTTCATACCCTAAGCTTCACATTAATCAGAAAAATTGGAGGTAATCATCTGTTCAAAGTGCAGGAAAAACATGACTGGGAATGGAGCTCATTGGTACAGGACTTGCCGAGTATGTGCAAGACCTCAGGTTTGAATCTCAGAAACCCACATACACACAAAGCCAAATAGCAGAATAAGGACTGCGTTCCAGGTACTCGGGAGGGAAAAGCATGAGAAGCATGAGGTCAGAAGTCCCAGGTCAATACTTAGCTAGGTCAATGCCAACTGGCCTGTAGCGCTCCCATCTCCCCATAAAAAAGGATTCGTTTATTGTTCCTCTAAGGCTACCTCAACAAATAATTACAACTTCTTACAGAAGAGGCTGTCCTAAACCTACAGCTAGATGCATAAGATACCAACATTTTTCTTCAAGATAAGGATGGATATAAGGGCTGGGAATGTGGCTTAGTGGCAGAGTGCTTGCCTGGCATGTATGAAGCCCTGGGTTCGATTCCTCAGTACCACATAAACAGAAAAAGCCAGAAGTGGCGCCGTGGATCAAATGGTAAGAATGCTAGCTTTGAGCAAAAGAAGCTCAGGGACAGAGCTCAGGCCCTGAGTTCAAGCCCTTGGACTGGCAAAAAAGAAAAAAGAAGAGAAAAGAAAAAGAAACGATGTAAGTAAATTACTAACATTCAGGGTCTATGTTGAGCTTAGACCAAAACAGATTTGACATTATTTTATACAGAATTACATTTAACAAATGGCATAACATTTTTTTCAACAACGACGTCGTATTCTAAATTCTAAATCCCGGTTCTCGTTCAATCATCCATACAGTAATAAGAGCTTGATAAAATTACTGTCTCGACATCCTACCTCGCCATGGCTGTCTTGCGCATAACTGTGGTTGAGTAAAGTGTCTTGCATACTGGACTAAGTCCAAGAACTTGGGTCTCAATAGGAAAATCCTGTGTGGCCACAGATAATGACAACCACAACCTTCCAGGTAAACATTATAGACTGGGATCAAAAAATTTCAAGAAAGGATTTACCCTCCCCCCCCCAAAAAAATCATCACGTGGGGGGATGGGGAGGAAGAGGGTAGAGGAGGAAAAGAGGAGAGGAAGGGAGAAGGGAGGAAGAGAAGGAAGGGCGAACCGGGAGAGACAGAGGGAGAGAAATCCGCTCCCTTCCCTTCACTGCCAGACAATAAGAAGAACGTCCATCAGGACGAACTCACAAAGGCAGTGCAGGCCGAGACAAGCGAGGTCAGACCCCGGCTCCAGACGCCTTCCACGCGCGCACACGCGCACACGCACACACACAGAGCCCAGAGGCCCTCCAGACGCCCCCCCCGCCCCGAGGTCCCCCAAACGGCCCCCCCCCGCCCCGAGGTCCCCCAGACGGCCCCCCCCCGCCCCGAGGTCCCCCAGACGGCCCCCCCCGCCCCGAGGTCCCCCAGACGGCCCCCCCCCGCCCCGAGGTCCCCCCCGCCCCGAGGTTCCCCAGACGGCCCCCCCCGCCCCGAGGTCCCCCAGACGGCCCCCCCAGGCCCTCCAGACGCGCCTCTGGAGACCCGTGGAAAAGAAGCGGGGCTGCAGCCCCAGCCCCAGCCCGGGAAAGGTCGAGGCCGGGCGGCCGCCTCCGCGCGAGACGGCTCGCGGCCCGACACCAACCTCGGCCCCCTGCTCGGCCAGGCTTCGCGGAAGCTCCTCCGCAGCTAATTCACGCACTCACCCCGCTCAATTTCCGCTTCTCCCTTCCGCGGACCCACAGCCCCCGGTTACCTGACACCAGTCCGTGGTCCGGTGTTTACATTCCGCTTGCCCTTTGCCACCGGAAGCGGAAGTTGTCGCATCCGTGTTCCCGCCTACTTTGTTCCTTCCCTTTGCGCCCTGGCCTTGGCTCCAGGGTCTTCCAAGAAATAGATGGGAACAACTGGAGAGGCCCCGGTTGTCCAAGGAAGCGGAAAGAGGGACAGCAATGGCTTTGGTGTGCCTGTATCTTCTCCAGGACCTCACAGCCCAGCAGACGCCGCCGTGCGCCCACACACCGCGTTGTCTTCTGGGATTTGTAGTACATCCCGGACTCGGAGCGCTTTCCAGAAGTAGCTGGAAATGTTGGGGGGCCTTAGGTGAAGGAGTGGGGAAGCGAGACTGGTGGGCATGGAGCAGCGTTCCTAACAAATGTAAAGGTCTGACAGTCCCCTAGTTAAGCAAGATCAGGGGTAAAGGATTAGATAGGACCCTGCCCACAAAGGGCTTTGCGACCTAACATAAAAGCTAAAGCCAGCCAAGTGCAGCAAAGGACAGAGGAAAATCTGGATTGAGAAAAGATTTGAGGGCTAATCAGAGAGCATAACAGCTGACCGATAGGCTTTTCCTGGGACTTAATAACAAAGCTGGCACATAGGAAAACAGAATAATACAACGCTTGTAAATCGTTCCCAAAAAGGGAGGAGAGGGAATGTGAATTTAATCAAAGTGCATACATACATATATATATATATATATATATATATATATATATATATATATGAAACCCCTTTATATAATTGATATATACTAATAAGAAAAGTAAAAGAGGTGGGGAAACTAAGACCCCACAAGAGAAAATTACAGCATGAGAGCAGCAGCTGGTTATCTCTTGAAATAATTAAATGAACAACTTTCAGAAACTGAAAAACTATTCATGTATTCATAATATACTATCTGATTGCTATTCACTGGCAGATAGTTCCTCCTATTGCCTGGCCTCAGTCCCTCCTGATGTTGGAAATTTACTCTCTCCTCTGAACCCCCTTTTCCCTGGGAAAAGAATATCCATGGGAACAAAACTGTGAAGTCAGAAAACAGAAAAAAAAATATTGATAAAGGGCAAACACCTCTTGGTAAAGAAAAACCCCAGCCTTTGTCCCTTCTCCACCCTTGCTTAAAAGCAAAAGAACATCTCTCTCTCACTCAAGTTTACCAAGCTGGCAGCTATGCAGAAGGCTACTAACAACCTTGAGGCTTATCACCAGCTGCACCGAGTAGCTGTATTAGTCAGGGGCTTATAATAAAAATAATTTCTGTAACAGTGTCAATAGCATTGAGAGTATTGGTCATGCTGATCAAGTCAAAATTATGTTTTGCCTATGCTCCTGACTCAAGGCTATGTTTTTGCTGTTTTGCTTCTGTAACCTTGCTTGCTTGCCTCAGTAACAGGGCCTTAAGCCCACCAGTTGAAGACCACCACTGAGTGGTCTCACTATGGGTGGCCTATTGCAAATTATTATGTATGATATTTACCATAAAGAACAAATTAATTTGAAGGTCATATAGCTATAACCAATGAAAATGTGCCAAACCTGCCTTACATGGCTCATCTATGTGACTATGTAACCTACCCCTATAAAAACCCACCCTACCCTAAGCTCAAGGCCGTTCTCCTACTTTCCCAGTAGTAGGAAGCGGTCACCGCACAGTGGTAATAAAGTTCCTAGTGCCTTTAACTGGGTGTCTTGGAGTCTCTTTTGGATCCGGGATATAATAATACAGCTATACTGTGCAAAGGAAGATCCATTTTTTTTTTTTTTTGGAGACTAGACTTTATCATCCTCAGCACTAAAACTGGATAATTCCTTGTTTAAACTAAGTGCCATTAGACTCCATGATAACCATCACCAGTAAAGACAACCAAATTGTTTCCCCAGAAATTATTGCCTGGGGAAAAAAATGGCCCCTTCTCTTCCTTTTTCCTCCCTGCCCACAATAGTCCCTGCCCAGTAGGGGCAGAGGGAATTTTCCCCCAGGCTCTGGGGTCACTTCTCCTCCCCACCATCCCCTATATAACCTCAGTCCCACCATGAGTTGGCCCTCTTCGAGATGTGCCTCCATCTCCTGTGGGCTGGTAGTTGAGTTACCCCAAATAAACTTCTCTGCCCAACCGTATGGCAGTCTCCTTTCCATGAACATTACAATTATGAGGCAGGACCAATTAGGAAAAAATGAGGCCTGATGAAGGCAGCTCAGAGACAAGGTAGCTAAAAACAGAGAAGCATACTATATGTGCTTAAAGAGAGACAACAGGATACATTCCTTCCTGAGAGATGCATTTCTCACCCCAAGAATTAAACTTTGCTTGGCAGGATGTATCCCTTCTTGAGAGAAATGCTCCCTGAAAGTAATGAAAGACCCAAAACATAAACAATCAGAATAGTAGACAAGAGCCAGGAATTTAGTATAATACCACCAAGTGTGATTGAGAGCAAAGATAACCTATCTTTGCATACCATTAAGTCAGAAAACCTGCGTGTATCATAAAAATACCCCTGATGTCAGAAGGCTAGTGTTTCTATTCTTTGAGGGCTCCCAGACTCTGTTAGAATGTACCTCCTCTTCTCTGCCTGTTTGTCTGCATGCCTACCTTCCAGTTTGCTCTATTTGCTTATTCATAAAGCTCTGCTAAGTTTTCTTACCATTGTGACTTATCCAGAAATTGTCATTCTGAGATCAAAGTCAAGGACCTTAAAAGTCCCTACCTTTAAAAGGGAACTCCAGGGGCTGGGAAGGTGGCTCAGTTGTAGAGCGCTTGCCTTGCATGCCCGAGGCCCTAGGTTCAATTCCTCAGCACAACATAAGCAAAAAGAAAAAAAAGCCGGAAGTGGTGCTGTGACTCAAGTAGTAGAGTGCTAGCCTTGAGCTGAAGAGTTGAGGGACAGGGCCTAGGCCCAGAGTTCAGGCCCCACGACTGGACCCCAAAAAAATAATAATAAAATAAATAAAAGGGAACTCCACTAACCTTCACCTGCATCCGATGACAGAACTACATCAAATTAAAACAGTTCAGCACAGTGGGGGAAAAAAACTTTACCAAAACCAAGACAATCCACAGAATGGGAGAAAATATTCACCAGGCATTCAATAAAGGATTGATATCAAGAATACATAAAGAGTTGGAAAAAACTAAACAGCAAAAGAGCAATCCAATTAATAATGAGTAAATGGGCAAGTGAGTCAGCTAGTTCTCAGAAGAAATACAGAGGACTATATACATGAAGTAATGAAAGTAAGTCACTTCTCATATGACACTACAGTCATGTTTGTCTGAATAGAAATGCTTTCACGTGGCCACACTTACTGTAAAACCAATGAAAATGCATTAAGCCAAATGTGTATGATTGGTGGGCTTCTCTGTTACGCCTCTATGGAAGTGTATGTATGTCCTCAACAAGAGGCTTGGAGGATGTCACATGGCCATGTTTGTGACAAGGATGCACTTCCCAGCAGCCTCTGGAACAATAGTAACAGAGTAGTGGTTGAGTCTATGGGTGGTTGGGTCTTTCCTAGATTTGTCAAGTAACTTAAACTTTATCCCCTCTACTCTGGTTAAGACTTCTTCCCAGGGTTTTCACACTTCACCAATACTTCTTACTTTGGTCTGTGGTCTGATTAACTTCATTCATTCCCTATGTTGTTGATTTTATTGACTAATTTCATACATTCCCTATGTTAATTTTTATAGACAACACCTTTATGTTTTGTTTTGGTTTTGTCGTGGGGCTTGAACTCTGACCCTAAGGTCTTCAGCGCAAGGCTAGTTGCTCCACCACTTGAGCCACAGTGCCACTGTTGGTTTTCTGGTGGTTTATTGGAGAGAAGAATCTCACAGACTTTCCTGCTGTCTTTGAACCGTGATCCTCAGTTCTCAGCCTCCTTAGAAGTTAGGATTACAGGTGTGAGCTACTGGGACCTGGCTCACAAACATCTTTTGAATTAAAAAAAAAAAAAAATCCTCTAAGGAGCTGGGAGTGTGGCTCAGTGGTAGAGTATTTGCCTCGCATGCACAAAGCCCTGGGTACTGATTCCTCAGTACCACATAAACAGAAAAAGCAGGAAGTGGTACTGTGGCTCAAGTGGTAGAGTGCTAGTCTTGAGTAAAAGAGTTCAAGGACAGCACTTAGGCTTTTGAGTTCAAGCCCTAGGACTGGAAAAAAAAATCCTTTAAAATTAATGTTAGTATTAACATTTACAAAAGTTCATTCACTTGAAGTAATAACAGCTTAATACTTTTCAAACAAGATGTTTATACAAATTTACAAATACCTAGAGCAGTTAAGTTCCCTACAAAAACCTTAAGGCTCCAACACTATTATTTTAAATATTTAGAATGCCAACAGCCTAACAAAAGCCCTGTGAACAGACAAAAGGCTTAATGGTACTCTAATAGTACTGAGATGCTAACCAAATCCAATACTAGCTACTTACTAAAAGTGGTGGTGTAGTGCCCATGTCGCAGGACTCCCACCAAGAAGACCAAGGAGTCAGACGTTCCGAAATGCAAAAGCAAGGCTTTATTTAGACAAGCTGCAGCTCAGGCCTTGTCCTACACCCTTGTCCTACACTCCGACACAGCAAGCCCAGGAGGAGAGCCCTGAGCTAAAGATTTGAAGGGCTTATAAAGGCACACTACCAGGTGTTTGGATTACCACCTCGTGTTGCTCTGCTAGCTGAGATAAACAAGCAACAAATGGTCACTGCCTCAAAAATGGAGTTACTTTGACCCTTCAGTGGCTTCTTTGGCTTTTACTGTGGTTGCTTTCTACATAAAAGCAAAACTAACTTGATACAAAAATGCAGCCCATGTACTGCATTTCATATGTAGGTACATTATTAAGAAAGGTGCAAAGATGGCTGTGAAGAGCCTATTGCCCGCCCACTTAGTTTTCCTACAGTTTAAACATTGTTACAAGTTAAAAAAGTTTTTCTTTTGCAATTTTCCTCAATTTCAATTGTATCCAGTGAAAACATGTGAATGACAGAGCTCTAGTCTACCAGAAACTGTTATGTTGTATGTGAAATTTCATTCATTTTGCCAGAACCAAATGAAAGCAGAGAGGTGGAAGGAAATTCTTTACGAATGGACTCAGACAACACATATTCTCCTTTCCTTGCAACAGTACCACTTGGGACACAGATGCAGGGTATTTCTTCAGGTCGAGCAACAAAGCCACCACGGTCATTCCAAGTGATGTCACTATAAGATCCAGGATGCCAGTGCAAGTTGGAAGATGGAATTTTTATATAAAATTACCTAAAACTCCAAAACACTACAAAAGCATCTTAGAAAAAAGTATAATCAAAATAAGACCAATCGCATTTATTTCACTGAAATTATTTTAAATTAGATACGATATATTAAGCTCGCATATGCCTCAACTTGATAGAAAAGTTCCTGTCTGTGAGAAATCAATTTTAATGGCAACTTTTTTTACACATCAGTAAAATCTGTTACATTTAAAACTATGTATACAGTACTTTCCTGGCAAAAACCATATACATCTTTCAGTTGTCAAGACAAAGTAAAAATACAGTTGCATAAAATCACAAAAAAATATAAATTGCTGAAAAGATAATAAAAAAAGATTAAAAATCATTTGCATTGACTCTGTTCATCTTCAGTATTAGTAAGAATCTGCAAGCTACAATAATCTGTGAAAATTCCATTGCAACCTTGATAGACACAACCAAAAGTTGTCACTTCAAATACTAGTAGCTTAAAAAAGATTTTGCTGTAATAGTTCACATTTATACTATTTGTACAAGTGCAATATTTAAATATCTTCAAAATAAAACTCAGTAAATAAATCAAAATAACTTAGAAAGCTTACAAAATTAATAATTTTTTGAAGGTCCTAATTAACTGGTTCCTCCTTTTGTCCTTCCCTCCCCACAACTGTTGGTAGAGATATTACTTAGTTCTATATACAAATCTGTAACACTTTTTTAAAAAATGCAGTCTTCTGCTCTTAGCATCAGAAATAAAATGCTGCAGTTAGCGTTAAGTAAAACAAACCCCACACATAGGGCCACAGACAACATAGTTTTGAACTACTATTTAAATGGAACTTCCATTCTTTGTACAATTTTCAAATTCAAAGAATAGAAGACAAAATGAATCAAGATTTTTGTTCTGAATTCAGTGCATGAGTCTAGAGGTACTGGAGTCACCATAAGCTAGGGTCACCCTTTACGGAAGCTTTGGTGACACCTGAGTATATTACCATCTGCTTACCTAAGTGCTCACAGTTTTACAACATCCTAAAATAGTGGAAAAGAAGATAGCAATATTGGAATAGGAAAAGGATTAACATCCACAAAAAGGATTTTGCTTTTGTTTTGTGGTGCTAGAGATCAAACTTAGGGCCCTGCACATGCCAGGCAAACACTCTTTTTAACACACAGCTATATCCCCAGCACCAATTCGTTGGAGTTAAAATAGTATAAGGCAAATATGGGTGATATATTTTTTATCTACATACATAATGTCAGTTTTATCTGAGGTCACTTTAATTCAATCATTTTCAGCTACTATGTGTATTACATGAGAGGGGAAATAGATATCTAATCAGAGATCTTTAGGATATTGAAGCATTAAAGAAAAATAATTAAAACTTGAACCTTTGACCAACTAGAAGAATGGATTTGCTCCCCATTTTACAAAAATACAATGTTAATCTAAAATGTTAATACCAAATGTAAGGTGCAAGCTTTAATTCTTTTCTAATTTGAAATAACCAGTTAAAATAGAAATTTTAAGGACAAATGAAATCTAAGTATGAATATTAGGGAAATATAAATTTCATAGCAAATTCAGGGGATTTTTAGAATATTTTAGGAGATGCTTAGAGGTGATAAATATGTACACATCTAAACAGTTCAAGAGACACACACAAATATATGCATAACTAGCTTTATCATTATACATACGTAAATCTGTGTAAAGAAACTATTAAAAAGTTAACTGCCAAATCTAAGTAATATACATACATCTCATCACCCTACAATTTTTGAACATTTCTTTTTCTAAAAGTTATTTGTTAAAAAAAATTGGGGTGAAAATGCTATCTTCAAATAAAACACTTATATCCAAGAGCTTAAAGATTCTAAAAGATGTTTCTTTTATGCACTGAATCTATTTGTCAGATATAGGATTAAATGATTCGAAATTTCTGCATATATTCCATATTTACTGACATGATAAGCAAGAATTTGTGAATTTGGCAAAAGCAACAATTTATTTACAGTTTATGTAACTCAGCTCTTAAAACAAATAGAACATTTTATATACAGGGCATAGGGGAACAAATTTTAAGATTAAACTTAGGGCCTAGAATATCTACGTGTATGAGACTAACCAAGCTAAAGGAATATTTTAAATTGATTCTACTATCTGATATGATCTACCATATAATGTAGAATTTTAAGGGAGGTATGGGAGAAATCATCCAAACTCTAACTACTACTGTGAAATACTAGCTATTTAAGGAACCCAGAAAACAATTATCAACTGTGAAAGTCTACGGAGTCTAGGCAAGTATTTATTGAATAAATTTATAAAGCAAATATAGAACACATCAGCATGTAATAACACATGAAGGCCTTTATGGTAAATTAATCATCTAAATAGCCCTGTGTACACCAAATATAAAATAGCCAAAAATCAAGTGAGCCTGAGAGATCTATAATTCATTATATGTTATGTATATGCCTACTGAACAATAAACAACAAAATAATCTTAATTCATTTCTGCACATGAGGCTGTAATTTTCAGTCATGTTCCAATCCCTGTGCAAATTGCATTTCAAAAGGCCAATCTTTAGTTATAATTGTGTGTATATATATATATAAAACTTGATTACAAATGGAAGCATTTGGCTATTGTTTATTATGCATGCTTATTGCTATGAAACAAATAAGCAACATTTTAGGTTTATTGTGCAAGGATTTTAATGAGATTTGCACACATTTCAAAAAATTCTATTGTGTGACTTCCGGGTCTTGGAGCTAAGTCAACAGGAGAAGAGTCAAGTGAGGTCACAGATGAGGTAAGAGAAACTTCTGAGGATTTTCCTTGGGCCTCAGCATCTGAGTCATTCCTTTGGCAAGATCGATAGTTGCTAATTGATCCTGATCTCTGTGGAGTAGCAGTCCCTGATTTGGCTTCTGTAATTTCATCTGGGTAAAAATAAATTGCAATTTATTAGAACTTATAATTTTTTAACAATACTGAATTTACTTTTTAGTAGACTACTGATACACTATCCAGAACACAATTACTATAAATACCTTCACATTGAGATAAGATGCCTAAACTATTTACCTTTTAATACACAAGTATGTACTCTTTTGTTGCTGGTGGTGGTGGTTGTGGGGCTCCTGAACTCAGGGCCTGGCACTGTCCTGGAGCTTGAGCCACAGCCCCACTTCCAATGTGCTGGTGGTTAACTGGAGAGGAGACTCTCATGGACTTTTCTGCCCAGGCTGCTTTTGACCCAATATCCTCAGATCTCAGCCACCTGCAATTCTAGCTAGAATTATAGGCATGAGCCACCAGCACTCAGCTTCACAGCATGTACTTTTGAAATGGACAGTCAAGGTTTAGTAGAGTCTAGTGATTCATCAGTCTTACAATCTAAGTTTAAGAGCCCAAGGTTTAATAAATAGCATTCTCACAATAATAGCTCTTTTGAAGTCACAAAATCAATTAACTGGGAATAAGGATCTTGGAAATCATCGCATTCTTAATTTTTAATGAAAAATAGCAAGATAATAAGTGTGAAACTCAAGTCTACTAAGTTTAATTCTGTGTTTTCACACTTGTTCTATCTAATCGTATTTCATAGAAGAGATCATAAAAAAGCATCACTTGTAGAAACAAAATCAAATATAAACGTAGGAGTAGTCATTCAGCTGGTAAACTTATGTGCTAATAAATCTAAGATTGCAAGTTTAATCTAAATATAATGGAAAAATAAAACCTATTTCATACCCCAAACTATTATTCTGTTAGGAGACATAAACTAGATATCAAGATAGGCAATCAGATTGGCCAGTATCTCACAGCTCAAACCTGTTTTTCTTATTAGAAAGCAACATAAGGCACTATCTTTGAGTTGTAAAAAGGGAAAAAAAGCCAGGTACTGGTGGCTCACACCTGTAATCCTAGCTAATCAGGAGGCTGAGATCTAAGGATCATGGCACAAAGCCAGCTCTGGCAGGAAAGTCTGTGAGACTCTTATCTCCAATTAACTACAAAAAGCCAGAACTGAAGCTGTAGCTCAAGTGGCACACTGCTAGCCCTGAGCAAAAAGAGCTCAAGGACAGCATTCAGGTACTGAGTTCAAGCCCCAGTATTAGCAAAAAAGAAAAATCCACAGATGAACCCCTTAATCATTCAATATAATCTTTCAAAAATAATGTATCATAATATCTTAATGAACAAAAGCCATAACCCCCATACTTAATTTTGAAATTATTTAACTGACAATAATGATATGTGCATGCAATGCTAGCACTCAGGAGGCTGAAGCAGACCAACTGCAAGTTGAAGTCAGATTGGGCTACATAGCAAGATCTTGTCTCAAAAAACACCACTACCAGGTGCTGGTGGCTCAAACCTGTAATCCTAGCTACTCAAGAAGCTAAGATCTGAGGATCAAAGTTCAAAACCTGCCCCGGCAGGAAAGTCCTAAACTATAATTAACCACCAAAACACTGGAAGTGGTACTGTGGCTCAAAAGTGGTAGAACGTTAACCTTGAACAAAAGAGCTCAGGAACAGAGCCCAGGCCCTGAGTTCAAGCCCTACAAATGCCTCCCCCCCAAAAAAAACTACTTAATAGAGGAGGAAGAATGATGAAATGGGTGACATCGATCAAGATGCACTATATTCATAAACTGATTAGCTGAATGGTAACTCTTTGTACAATTGCTTAATCATAAATTTGAAAAAATAGTAAGAAAGCTGAAAAAAATTATTAGCAAATACAGAAACATTGACATTCATTTCTAAATATTTTATCTTTCCTCATACATACATACACACACACACATATTTATCAAAATGAATTCCAGGAAATGGAAATAAAAATAAAAAACGAACCATACAACAAAACAGAAATGTAGCCAAAAACTTTAGCATGAAACTGTATCTCAGCTTTAAGAATTTTACCAGATGATATTAAAGAGACACTACTCAATAAAATTACAATAACAGATTTACAAATGTCAATACTGCAAAAAATTAAAGACCAATAAGACAAGCTAGATAACAGGTCTGATATATCATGTTCACTGTTTTGTATGATGTACATACCATCAATACTACGGAAATCCAACAAATAAGTTCTACTATCCACTTGGTATAACTGTAGACTCATTTTGGAATAGGTGCTTGTCACAGGATTCTTCCTTCGAACACGCAAATAATATGGGTTTACAACCTAGCATGGGATGTGAGCAAAAACAAGGCCAAAGCAATTACTCCGTAAAACATTTTATAGAGCACAGGTTTGTAAAATGTGTTAATAATCAGAATATTTGTTCTTTTCCTACCTTCCATTCATAATCCAATTGCTTAATTGCTCTACATACTTCTGCCATGATATCAGTTGGTCGACTTTGACTTCTAATTCCCAAATGCCATTTTGCTTTCCTTACACCTTGATGTTTAGATTTCTGTGGGTTTAATTCATCAAGGGTATGGCGTGCCCTTGGTGTTTCGGCAACCAGGAATGGTACTCTTTCTGGATGGGGCCGAGTTAAATGGTGATCATCAAGAAAAGAATCAGGTGGGCTTGTTGCCAAGTAGAAATCTTTGGCTTCGTTCATAATTCTCCTGTTATCTATGATTAGGTGATAGGCAACGGCCAGAGGGTCCTGGTGATTTCTATTATAAAGGCAGCTGAGAACCTCCTCTTCAGAGCATTCAAATTTTTCACATACTTCTTTTAAGGCTTCATCATCAATCATGGTTGAACTATATGATGGGTCTTCAGGAAAGAGATATTTGGGAAGGTCCTGTTTAAACCATTCGTGTTCCCTGAAAGGGGAAAAAGTTGTACAGTTGGGAGAAGAATTCTGAGTAGACTCAAGATTGAAATTAACAGCTGAGAGGAATTTAGGGTATTTATACTTATACTGTGTTACTAAAATCTTTTTAAAATGAGATTGCTATTCTAGTTCACAATTCAAAATGTTTTGGCCTTCCTCTGATTTTAAGGATGTAAGAATAGGAAAAGAAATGTCTACACCTCAAGCTTTAGAACAAATGACAATGGCAAACACTGGCAAAGTACAACTTACTTCCAACTCAGAAAATATAGTGTCTTCATTTTAATACCTTTTAGTAAGCAAAAACAACTTAATAAAAATATCAAGAAACATCCATTAAATTCTGTGTGCTAACTTTTATGCTTAATAGTTGGTATATATTGTCTCTCCTCATCCTCAAAACAATTCTATAAAGGTAACAACATACCTTTGTCCTAAATTAAGGACTGAAGTTCCAGTCAGTCAGGAAGTGGCCCAAGGTCATGGAGACAGTAAGTAAAGTCAGACTGCACCCTGTTCTGTGTGAATATTTCCACTTTCTTAACTCTACACATAAAGAGTATTTTTTACTTGAGTTATGGTAAAAACATCCTAGCTAGCTTAAAAAATGAGAAGAAAATACTCCAAAGAGTAACGGTTAAGCTAGATGCCGGTGGCTTATGCCTGTCATCCTAGCTACTTAGGAGGCTGAGATCTGAAGATCTCGATTCAAAGCCAGCCTGGGCAGGAATGTCTGTAAGACTCTTATCTCCAATAAACCACTCCAATAAAAACTGGGAGTGGTGCTGTGGCTCAAGTGGTAGAGCACTAGCTTTGAACTAGAGCTGAGGGACAGCACCCAGGCCCAGAATTCAAGCCCCATGACCGACCAAAAAAAAAAAAAGAAGAATGGTTATTATGGCTATCTTCTAACTATTTGTTATTCCTTTCTCTTTTTGGTGCTTTTCTAAGTCTTTCTGTTTTGTAGATAAAGTGTTACCAAACAGCTCAGAATACTCTCATACTCTTTTGCTTATAATTTTTTATTGAGATTAAGTGATTACATAAATTTCACAATAAGATAGTGATACTTAAAAAGTCACAAACACATTCACATTTTAACCTTCATGAGGCAAACTGTCATTATCGTGGTCTATAAAGTTTGTGAATTCTATGGGTTTTGACAATACAACTATTTCTTCCACATCGGGTGATATGTACATTTGTTTCCTTTTGTTTAGTGTAAGCTGTTCCCTCTTTCCCTCTCTCCCTCTCATTCCCTTCCTCCCATCGCTGTCCTTGAGTTGATCAGTTCGTTTTCATCAATGTCCAAGTGTACTCTCATACTCTTGGTCCTCCTACCTCAATCCTAAGCACATATACCACACCTTGATTTCCATATATTTTTTAAAATATGTAAATAAAAAGCAAATACACTTCTCAATTTATTTTAGAAGATGATTTATCATTTTCCTCTGGTAGTAAAATCATACCCTGTGATTAATAATCTCTTTATTAGCTTGACTTTTTACATAAGGTAATTGGAAGAACAAGCTTCAAGCTCACAAGTAAATCCTCCCTTCTTCTTGGCTACCTTAATGCTTTATTTATCTTAAGATCTCATATCCCTCTTGTTTCTTTCTTCCTTATTCTTTTCTGAGAAGTGTGGGTCTAGAAATTAGAAGAATTTCTCAAGGAGGAAGAAAATGAACAATAGAAAAACAAAATTTGCAGCAAATATTTTTAAGCCTTTATGAAAATGGCTCCCTTAAATTTGAGAAGCAGATTTGAATCACTTGTGTCTTATTCCCTTACTCAAATTATTAGGTTGAGTCCTGTAAAACACAGCAAACCTAATTTCATGAGATTCAAAGTACACTACTAGGAAAATCCATCCATCTTTGATTAAAATTTTCTCATTCATGAAAACTATACAATAGTTTAGATTACCTGATATCTTTTATTGTGGCCCTCTTCATGGGATCCACCTGCAGCATATGCTTCAAAAGGCTAATCACAGAAGGATTTAAGTATTGAGGGGTATAAAAAATCCCATCACATATCTTTTTAAAAAGAGTTGGCACATGATCATCATCAAACGGAAGCGTTCCACATAATAAAGCATAGAGAATAACCCCACTGCTCCATATGTCCACCTCAGGGCCTGCATAGAGTCTGTAACAGGAAATACCGGTGTTATTAGATAATTGTTAATAATATCAGTCAAAATTAACCAATCATAAAGAAGATGTTTCATAAAGAAGATTTTTATCACAATAAAAAAGATTTTTATAATTATCGCTATTACATATAACTATCTTAATCCCACAGTATTATTTTTGAAAACAAATGTAAATAAGGTTTGAAAGTTATAGGACACAGCTTAAATTCTGTCTGTTTTATATTACCATGGTGCTTAAATGGTTCCTACCAATAGGGTGAAATCTCAACAAACTGATCAATATTGAACTTAAAAGCAGTTTTTTTTAAGTTATAGAGATTTTTTTTTTTTTTTTTTTTTTTTTGCCACTCCTGGGGCTTGAACTGAGCAGGGCCTGGGTACTGTCCCTGAGCTTCTTTTGCTCAAGGCTATCATTCTACCACTTGAGTCCCAGCACCACTTCTAGCTTTTTATTAATATGGTACTGAGGAATCGAATTCAGGGCTTTATGCATGCTAGGCAGGCATTATACCACTAAGTTACATTCTCAGTCCAGATCAAATTCTTTAGTAATAAACTCTGATGCCACTTCTCCCTAAGAACAGGATACCTTGACTATGGAAGGAAGCTGGTTAAGGAGCTCACAGAATATTTTAAACACTCATTTGCAATAGACTGTGACAACTTTCTTTCTTTTTTGCCAGTCGTGGGGCCTGAACTCTGGGCCTGGGTGCTGTTCCTCAGCTCTTCAGCTCAAGGCTAGCACTCTACCACTAGAGCCACAGCGCCACTTCTGGCTTTTTCTGCTTATGTGGTGCTGAGGAATCAAACCCAAGGCATCATGCATACAAGGCAAGCCTGAGCCACCTTCCTAGTGCCTGTGGACAACTTTCTTAACATACCTCAGAAACTAAATCACCTAACATCTTACTTCAGGGAGAGGAAAAGAATCCCTTAAATTATTAAAATAAATTGCTGAACTGATCAATAAATATTCCTGCGAAGGTAAAAGTTGCCATTCACTCAGACTGATATCCAACTGGACACTGGTGGCTCAAGACTATCCTAGCTACTCAGGAGGCTAAGATCTGAGAATCATAGTTCAAAGCCAGCTTTGAAATCTATATCTCCTATCTCCAAGTAACCACCAGAAAACCAGAAGTGGAGTAAAAAAGCTTAGGGACAGTGTCCAGGCTCTGAATTCAAGACCCAAAACCAATTTAAAAGAAAAGACAATCCAAATTGAGAAACCAAATTTCACAATAGTCCACTGAAATATCTATATAATCATAACACATTTCATCTTTATTTATACTGTCCCCAGTTATATGGGTCTTAAATTGTTTTTTTTTTCTCAAAAGAATTAAGATAGACAACAAAAATGAAATCATTTAAAAAAGAATTCTGGACTTGAAGTTAACATAAAAATATGATGAAACTTAGTAAGTCTAGTTATTCCAGCCTTATGCACAACTATGCCTTTACAGAATTATCTAGGCAAATAAGCTTAGGAAAATACTTTGACATCAAGTTACTTAGCATGTGAAATATTTAAAGAAACACAAAACAAAGAAATGTAGTTTGGGGGGCTGGGAAGGTGGCTCAGTGGTAGAGTGCTTGCCTGGCATGCATGAGGCCCTGGGTTCGATTCCTCAGCACCACATAAGGAGAAAAAGCCAGAAGTGGTGCTGTGGCTCAAGCGGGAGAGTTCTAGCCTTGAGCTGAAGAGCTGAGACAGCTCCCAGGCCCAGAGTTTAGGCCCCATGACTGACCAAAAAAAAAAAAAAGAAATGTAGTTTGGAAGAAAAGTTACTAAAAGTTAATTTACAGGGGCAATGATGTAGCTCAGTGGTAGAGTCCTTGCTTGCCAAGGCCCTAGATTCAACCCAACACTGCAAGAAAACTAAAATAAATAAATGTAAATAAAAGTTTATCTGACAGCTTAAAAAGGCAGCTCATTATAAAAAGCTAACAAACAGGTTCCATTTTTAATCTCAGTAGTTTCACAGTAATAAGGAACAAAAACTCTTACAAATTAAACTTCTACTAGGGGTTTGGAAAAACAGGGAGAGAGCAAGTGAAGTAGTGACAATGTCCAAAAAGAAATGTACTCTTTACTTGACTTATGCAACTCTAACTCCTTCGTACATAACATAGCGACTGTGACTCAACCTGTAGAGTTCCTATCTAGAAACCCCATGACATACCCTCCCTCTAAAAAAGCTATACCAGAAAACTGTTCTCATGTTCTCAATGCTAGTAGTCAGAAAATTTAAGGTCAAAATTCTTACAATCTTGTAGTCTGCAAAAGATTTAAAGAATAAAAATTCAGCAAAAATAAAGCCTTACTTCTATTTATTTGCTATTTGAAACACTTAATCTTGATCTTACTTAAGTGGCTCAGACTGGCCTCAAACTCTGAATTCTCTGCTTCTGCCCCTTCCCAAGTGATGCACCACCACACATGTCTGTTGTTATTAGCAATAATACAATAGGGCACGGCAACTTCTCAAGACACTTTTTTTTTCCTACCAGAACACTTAAAGCTACTACAAAATGCAATCTATTTGAAAAAATTTGAAGTTACACATTGCACATCTACACACTGCATTTTTTACTCTTCATCTAAGTAAACAGTAAACCATTTCTAACTAAAGACACCATAAACTAAAAAATGTAGAAGATTACACAATTATGAAAGTATTAAGGACAGGAGGGTGTAGAATACTACCTTCCTGAAATTACTTCTGGAGCAGCATAGTTAGGTGAGCCACAACTTGTTCTTAAAAATTCACCATCTGACATCATGTTTGAAAGACCTGAAAGTGCACAAGCACAGCTATTCAAGATTTCCAAGGAGAAAAATACCAACAGAACCCCATTAAATAAAGTACGTTAAAGGAATAGATCAAGTATATTGTTTCTTGCATTAACATCTTAGTCTTTATTTCCAAATATCCTGCAGTATGCCCTAAAATGTGCAATCTATTTCGATATTTAAAATTAGTAGAGATAAAAGTTTAATGAGCCAGGTGCCAGTGGCTCATGCCTGTAATCCTAGTTACTCAGAAGGCTAAGATCTGAGGATCACAAGTTCAAAGCCAACCTGGGCAGGAAAATCCCCGTGAGACTCTTAATCTCCAATTAACCACCAGAAAACAAAAGTAGCACTGTGGCTCAAGTGGTAGCTTTGAGCTAAAGAACTAAGGGACAGTGCCCAGGCCCAGAGTTTAAGCCCTACAACTGACAAAAAAAAAAATAAAGTTTAATGAATACATGTTATTGGTTACTTTACTTACTAGAATAGACTTGGCAGGGTTAAAGTTTTATTAATGTAGAAACTGCTAGGGAAAAAAATCTCAAACATGAACAGAAACACAAAAACAAACCTATAAGTTTGAACCTGAAAGTTCTCCGAAAAGAAATCTTTGCCCATCAAAAATGTGCTGTTAAGATAATCATGGCAGCTTATGAATAAGGAAGTTGAGTAATTTAGCCAGTTTCAAAACAACACAATGACAACAATGACAAAAAAACCAATAGCCCAGGTTTGGATGGAACTCTTCAATGTACACCAAGGAAAACATTTACAATTTTCTCTGATTTGAATTAAAGCCAACAAAAGAAGAATGTTTAAGTTTCCTTTTTCTTTTACATTTAGTAATGTCAATTTTCATAGAAAATAAAGAAAAAAGTTCAATTTTAATAATAGAATGGGTTTATTTTTGAGCCAGGGTAGGCTTTAACTCAAGATCTTCCTCCCTCTGTCTCCCAAAGGGCTGAGATCACAGGCATGTATCATCAAACCTGACTCTAATATGTTTCTTAAAAAACAACAGATTTTATTTTCTTTTTTTGGGGGGGGAGTTAGTTATTTCCTCTTTATATTTCAGAAGTTATTGTTAATGATATCCCTCTTTCCCTAAATTTTCATGTTTATTAAACATTTACCAGCCTGAAAATACAGGTTTTTACAGTGTGAAATTCATTTTTAATCATTTAAAATATGTTAATATTTTATAATTTTGTTCATTTAATTGACCTTTTAATAATGCTATCTCATTCATTTTCTTTTTCTTCATCTGTTATCTAAAGAATATACTGGAAATACAGTGCTTTCTCTTTTGCAAATAATGCTAACTTCAAATTATCTTTCCTTGTGTAACTATTTTATAAAAATCAATTCTGCTTTACTGTTTTTGAGTGAGGCCCGCTTTAGCTCCGTGCCTCAAACTCCTCAAAGCTGAGATTACAGGTAGGTGCCACAACATACAAAATGGGGAACAGTATTTCTCTGTTACATAAAAACTATCTGAAGAATGTTATAGTCATTAAACCTAATGACAAATGAAACTATAAAAATATCCTTACCAAAATCAGCTATCTTTGCATTCATGTGTGCATCAAGCAGGACATTTTCAGGTTTCAAATCTCTGTGAACCACCATATGCCTGTGACAATAATCCACACCAGAAAGGATTTGCTGAAACAGACGTCGACTTTCTTTTTCATCCAGCTAAAAACAAATGGAAAAGTATCTTAAATATTGTCTTTTTAAAAGGCATCCCCCTACCTATGCCTTCCATCCTATAAATACTTGCACGAAACCTTCTCAAATGAACGTTGTTCATGAAACACTTTTGATATGGGGAAAAAATAAACACACACCAACTTGGCTTTCTAATCCTGCCATTTGCATAAGACTACATTTCCCAGCTTGCCTTCCTCTATAGCCATTTCATGAGCTACTTTGAGTAGTTAGTTTCAATTTCTACCTGAAACTAGGAATGTTTCTGCTACAACTTATAATTGTTTACTACTTCATTCTCTTACCAAATACTTATAGAAAGCATTCAATTTACTACAACTGCAGATATGATACAGTAAAGAGTAAAACAAAGGCCCTAATCAAGTGAACAAAAATAAAGCAACAAACAAATACAACATCAAGGATGCAGTACTCTGAAGAAAAAGAATGCAGAGTAAGAGTACAGAAAGTGATGTTGAGATTTTAGGTTATGAGGAAGAAACAGTTCTGTACTATTAATGAATTACTAAGCAACCTTATTGCACATTGATATAAACATGTTTTAATTTTAACAAGTGAAAAACTTTATTTTATACAATAAAGAAATATAAAAGTATCTTTAATGTACTTACTGAAAAAAATACATTGCAACTTCCTTTTCAAAAACCTTTAAAAACTTCTTTGCTTACATCATATTTCTCCACACACGTGATAATCACTTACTCCTCAACAGTTGTATTTAATAAGGAAGCTATTAATCCTCTAAGCAAATAGTTCTCATATGCAATTTTCTAACAGGTCACAAATTAATATTCTAAAATCAGAATTCTATACCTTAAATGGCATGGATAATCCAGGAAGAAAAGACAAAATACTAATTTCCTTTGAAAGCAATATTATAACTACTATTTTAAGTATTATAAGATACCCTTCCTCTAGGAAAAAATTACTAACAATGTAACCCCTTTATCTCTTCAACTAGAAGTTTATGGGGGGGGGGGAAGTATCTAATAAAAAGTGAAAGAGCAGGAGAATTTATAATTGATGAAACAAAATACAAGAGGTAAAATAATAACGATGTAGGCTACAAAAAACAAAAAGCATTTTATTCATAAAAATTCAGCACAAAAGATAAAAAGAAAGTATCTGTAAATGAAGATTAGGCAAGGCAAAGCATATTTCCAGTTACATATCACAGACCTAATCTTTTGCTCTCCTTGAAAACCATTAAAATGACAAGGCAATAAAACAGGCAGGTAAAGACAAAAAGAACCAGACAGACAGCAATCTAGAGCAGCTACAAGCTGGACAGAACATAAAGACTGAGCCTACAGAGCTAGACAACAGAAATAAACTCATCTATTCCAGAATCCTAGAAAGGCTTAGAAATTTGAGTTTCAGAAACTTCTGAAGGCAGAAGTGAGGGGTGGACTACAGAGACAAAACTGGTTGAAGGAAGGAGCTTTGAAACTCACCCCTAATGGGGAGTAAGACCTGTAGTTTATCCTAGTAAGGCTGAACCATTTCTAATCTCAAGGATACCTAAGTAGGCATGAGGCCTTGTGAGGAAAGTGGGTTAAATGAAAAACAACATCCTAACTACAGAGACTGGCAGCCCTCTTCCATTCCAGCTCCTGCAGATCTGACTGCAGACCTACAATCTTCAAGAAAACTGGAAGGTTTCTTCTGCAGTAAATATCAGAGCTAAGGAATATTTGTTTTTATTGACATATGAGAAGTCTCCCAACAATTCAATGTTTCGGAAGGACTGCCAATGAATATGCTCCATCAATATGAGCTTGGCATTTAGTACTTCACTCTTAAATATTAGTGGATAGCCAAGAATTGCCATTTATGTGAGGGAGAGTAAAGAAAGAATAGAGAAAAATTAAAATAAATGAGAAAGAATGGTAGCACAGAAGGTTACAGAAACAGTGCAAGGGACCAAAAGACAACTTTAAAAAAAACAACAACAACAAAAACTATCTTTCACCAGATAAGGATATTAAAAAAGGATATTTTAAAAAGCAAACTACTTATATTTTCAGAAAACAACAATGCCGCTTAAATATAAAATATGACAGCTGAATTTCAATGCCTAAGACTATAAAAGGTAAAACTGAAGAAATTCCTACCATGTAAAAAAAGATAAAGAAACCACAACAACAAAAAAATCAATGAAGACAAAAGATAGGAAATGGTATTAATCCAAGTTTTGCTTGTTTATACATCCTAGAGGATGGGGATAGGAGTTAAAAAGACTGAGAAGGAGAATACCTGCAATGGAAATGAATCATGACAAGAAAACAATACAATTAAAATTAACTTGGTTAATGAGTTGCTTCTGATTAAACAGCTATGCTATGTAAAATGAATAAAAAAATTAGATTAAGAATATGAAATTTGTGGGGCTGGGAAGGTGGCTCAGTGGTAGAGCACTTGCCTTGCATGCTCGAGGCCCTGGGTTCGATTCCTCAGCACCACATAAGAAAAAAGCCGGAAGTGGTGCTGTGGCTCAAGTGGTAGAGCGCTAGCCTTGAGCTGAAGAGCTGAGGGACAGCGCCCAGGCTCAGAGTTCAGGCCCCACGACCGGACCCAAAAAAAAAAAAAAAAGAATATGAAATTTGTTTTCTCAGTACTAGACACAGATAGGCGTTTAGTACCTGGTACTAGTAGCTCAGACCTGACTACTCAGGAGGCGATATAATCCTCAGGAAGAAGATTACAACTAAAGCCAGCCCAGACAGAAAAATCTGAGAGACTCTCTCCAATTAGGAAACAAAAAGCTGGACTGGAGCCCTAACTCAAGTGGTAGACCACCAGCCATGACTGAAAAAGTCATGCAAGCACAAGAGGTCCTGAGTTCAAGCCCCAATACCGGCACCAAAAAAAAAAAAGGAGCAAAGAGGAGAGAGGGGAGGGGAGGAAAAGGGAAGGGACGGGAGTGGAAGGGAGAGAAGGGGTATATCAGGTAACCTGAATATAAGAAAAATTGTGGGCTGGGTGCTGGTGGCTCACACCTGCAATCCTAGCTACTCAGGAGGCTGAGATCTGAAGATCACAGTTCAAAGACAGCCCAGGCAGGAAAGTCCATGAGACTCTCTTCTCCAGTTAACCATTGAAAAGGTCATAAGTAGAGCTGCGGCTCAAGTGGTAAAGCACTAGCCTTGAGCAAGGAGCTCAGGGACAGTGCCTAGGTTCAGAGTTCAAGCCCTAGGACCCGTAAAAAGAAAAAAGAAAATATGGCCAGCGAGATAGCAATGGTTCATGCCTGTAATTCTAGGTACTCAGAAGGCTGAGATCTGAGGATCACAGTTCAAAACTAGCCTAGGAGGCTGGGAAGGTAGCTCAGTGGTTGAGTGACTACCTTGCAAGCATGAGGCCCTGGGTTCGATTCCTCAGCAACACATAAGCAGAAAAAGCTGGAAGTGGTGCTGTGGCTCAAGTGGTAGAGCACTAGCCTTGAGCTGAAGAGCTGAGGGGCAGTGCCCAGGCCCAGAGTTCAGGCCCCAGCACCGACCAAAAAATAAAAAATAAATAAATATAAAACAGCCTAGGGGGAGGTGGGAAGGGAAGAGATGGTAGGGGAAAAACAAAGGAGGAGGTAATAATGCTCTATAGGAAATGTACTCATTACTCATGTAACTGTAACCCCTCTGTATAATATTTTTACAATAAAAATATATACAAAAAAATAAAAAATAAAAACCAGCCTAGGAAGGAAAGTATATAAGACTCTTATCTCCAATTAACCACCAAAAAGCTGTAATGGAGCTGTGAATCACATGATAGAATGCTAGCCTTAAGCAAAAAAACTCAGGGACAGAACCCAGGTCCTGAGTTCAAGCCCTAGGACTGGCACAAAAAAAAAAAACAAAAAACAGGGTTAGTATTCAATTTTTGTGTCTATTAACTTATTGTTTTATGTGTCTACTAAAGTTCCTTCCAGTTCTAAATTCCTTAAGTCTAATTCCTACCTCCTTCATCGAGCCTGTTCTTACTATTCCAGGTACATCAGATTTCTGAAACCAAAAAATGAATGCAATTTAAATGTGGCTAGGATTGACCAGAAAGGCCTAGATCCTTAAGAATTTAATAATATATTTTTATAAGGAATAATTATATACAAGAAACATACTAAAAGCCATTTTATATGCTTCGAAAGCATACATCTGAGAATTATGCATTCTGGGGTCTAAATCCAATTCTATTAATAAGTCATGTGTCCTTGAGTACACGTATATATTATGAGGCTCCATATCCACATCTCTGTAAGTGAGCTAAACAGATCATCAAGTTGTTTCTAGCTCTAAATAACCTACGAGCCTAAATAGTTATTAAGTAGACTTCTTAAAATTGCTGTCTGACATTCTGATACTAGTCAGGAATAAAGGAACTTACAAAATATGTACAGGTTTAAATCAGAGCTGCTTACCCTTCCATTTTTACAGATATAATCAAATAGCTCTCCTCCTGAGACATATTCCATCACCATGAAAATATCAGATGGTGTACTGATGACCTGGTACCTGGTGAGAGAAAACATTATCTACTAATATTAAAACATGAATATTAATTCATTCCATAAATATTTCCTAGGCACCTATACCAGGTATTGTGCAAGGAGTTAGGAAAACTGCAGGAAATAAACAAATTTTCTACTTTTATATTGTTGATGTTCCTAGAGGCAGAAAGCAGTAAATAAGAGAGCAGTCCCTTAGAGCAATACAGCAAATTCTGCACAGAGCACTTGAGGAAAGCCTCTAATAATGTCACACCTGAGCAGAGCTTTCTGGAAGTCAGGGAGCAAACTATGCCATTATCTGGGAAGAAGTGAACCAGGCAGAGAGACCTGCAAGAGCCAAGGCTCCAGATGACAGCCTGCTTGGCATGTTGAGGAATGAAGGTAAGAGCAAAGTAAGGTGGGAGAGAAACAATGTAGAAGCAAAGTTGTAACTGAAAAGGACCAGAACTTTAGAAGCCAAAGAAGCTTTGTCTTTTCCTGAACTCAAAGTGAAAAGGTCTTTAGTGGTCATGTGAATACTAAAAGGATTACACGGCAGCAATGTGAATTACTGACTGAATGGTAAAAGTGGAAGCCAAGTCTACTGCCATAGTCTACAAGAGGAATGAAGGTGACTCATATCAATCTGATGGGGATAAAGGACTGAAAAACATAGCAGAAACATATTCTGAAGGCTGAGATGAGATGGATGGTAGCTGGTGAGAGAAAGAGAAGTTAACAATGGTTTCTGAATTTTTGTCCTAGATAACTGGAGATGAGATTTGAATATGTACAGTTTGAAATGCCTCATGGACATCCACATGGATATAAAGCAAGCAGTGGACATGGAGGATTGTAAGAAATGTACACTTACAAGTCATCAGCCTACAGACAGTACTTAAAACTACTTTAGTAAATGAGAAGGGGTGAGAGTGAAATATATTTTCAGTTTCACAGTTCAACAAAAAAAGCTAAGCAGCTTTAAATTACAACCAACCTAATAAGCGAAATGAGCAATAGGTAAGTTATCTATGCATCCTACAACTGGTGACTATAAAACAACAGTAAAACTACTGTTCTTTGAAACGTTACATCCTAATGCATTGTCATTTGTACTTCCTACATAAGCTGTAGGAAAAAAAAACACAGTGAGAGGAGGGGATCCTTTCCAGTGTACTGTGTCTAGTAAGAGTACTGAACAGCATATAGAAATGTGGAAGTATGGAATTTTTGTGCTTAGCCGCCCCCCTCCCCCAACTGCAGTTGAAGCCAGGGCTTCAGTGCAAGCTAGGGAAAATTATTACTAGCAAATCAGTTATTCATTCTACAGCACAGAAGCAACTGAACATTATCAGATAGGTATAGAAAACAGGAAAGAACAAGAAAAATAGCAGTAATATGAACAAGGCTAAAACATGTGGATAAGGGTTAAATACATGAACAGGAAGAAACTTTTCAAAGCCCTGAAGAAACAGGAAGAAATGTCACTCCTCTTTCTCACTTGTCAATTTAAGTAGGTTAACAAAATGGATTAAAAAAAATGAATGGATTGGAATTAAAATAAATTGAGCTTACAATTTAATTATATGAGGATGCCTGAAAAGCTTGAGGTTTTGAATTTCTCTGCGGATTTTTCCTACCACATCAAGGCTTCGAATCTTCTGCCGATTGAGTATCTTCACAGCAACTTTATGCCCAGTCAATTCATGCTTGCCAACTGTAGAAGAAATAATTTTATAAATTAATAATATATTTAGATGTATTCTAAAAATAGTTTTTATACTCAGAATATACTTTTAACAGATTTGACAATATCCTGTGAAAAGCAGAGGTGAATAAGATTCAAGTAAGGTATTCTGCTATTTTTCTATTTTTGAATTACAGATCAAATCTGGAGTCAATCCCTCCACACTTGCTTAACCTGCCTACAATTTCTCACAAATTTTTGTGGCTCTGTTTCAGCAATGCAAAACTCACTAATGTTATGAGGCTTTATCTTCACAGAACCCAAATAATTTTTGGAATCCCACATAAAAAGAACCTGGCATGTTTCAGCATTCTAGATGTTCTTGAGAGTGACAGGCATTAATGTGCACTATCATGGGAAGATGGTGCAGGTGCATGGGAAGATGGTGATATGTCTTCCTCTAAAAAGCTTTGCAAGAATATCTCAAAATTGAATAATCTAACATATCGTGTCTCTTGGAGTAGAAATAATTCTTAGTTACCTACTTGTGCTCCCTTTCTAAGTCTTAGTAATTTAAGGCCATCAAGTTATAGTCTTTTCCCTTATTCTTTTTTTTTTTAATTTAATTTTATTTTTTTATGAACATACTGTACAGAGGGGTTACAATTACATGGGCAGGATAATGCGTACATTTCTTATCAAGCATTGCAGCCTCCTCCTTTGTTTCCTTTGTTTACCCTTCACATCCCTTCCCAGCCTCCCCCCTACCCCCCACCCAACCTTCCCCCCCCCTCCCCCCCCTTTTCCCTTATTCTCATTTAGGAGCAAAAACATTTTCCTTTAACCCAATTACCAATGTACTTTCAATATTAAATTTTCAGGAGCATAATATTTATTTTAAATGTAGCATCATACACCAGGTACCAGTGGCTCACCTTATAATCCTAACTATTCAGGAAGCTAAAAATCTGAGGATCACCAGTTCAGCCGGCTCAGGCAGGAAAATCCATGAGACTCTTAGCTTTACTACTAGAAAAAGCTGGAAGTGGAGCTGCAGCTCAAGTGGTAGAGTATTAGCCTTGAACACAGAAAGCCCAGGGACAGCACCTAGGGCTCAGAGTTCAAGCCCCAGGACCAGTACAAAAAGAAAAAGAAGTATCATACAACTTAAGAAACACCTATATTACGGCCTCACAATAAACCTATGGAGCAAATGCTACCCTACTTAATAGATTAAAAAAAAACACTGCAGCTCTAAACATATCTATAATTTGTCAAAGTAAATTATTGTGATCAAGTTGGGCCAGACCTTCTGACTAAAAGTCTACTAATGTATCCTCCCTCTCTACACAACCAGCACCAAGTAGTGAAAAAGAGAAATACCTTAGCACAAAATCAGAAGCACAACTGTTTTCTCAAAACCAGGCTAAAGATTTTACATTGAGTAGACTTCACTGCAGTCAAACTAACTGCTACGTTCAATCAGTGAATGTAGTAAACAGACTATGTCAGGAATATGTATGCCCAAAGGATGAACCACCTCTGTTTAAAGCTAAAACTTAACTCTCCAGATGGCTACTATTTTACAATGTAAAACTGTGTAAACAGGCATATAAGCCATAGAAGACTAGCTCCTCACCTACAGCAAAGGCTACTGGCACTCAATGTCTGCCTAACAGAGCAGATTAATCAACTGAAGATTAGCTAACAATCATGTTATTGCTGTCCAAAGGGAACTTTGTCTAATTATAGAACATTATAACAAGTAATCTTCTATTCAGATATGTAATCCTAAAATAAAACAAGATCATACATTGAAAGGTAAGATTGTAATAGGCTGGAGAAAACACAAGCAAGTATCTACTAAATATATTCTAGTTACCTAAGCACTTCCTTCCCATTCTAAAATTACTTTCCCTATTAAGAGTGTTAGGGGTGAGAGGTGAGCTTATGAAAGATGAAGATCTGAGAAAGCTACCTTTTTTGTTAACAAACATTTGAGGCATACCAAAACCCCTGTACCACCAGCCAGTTTATAAAGCATTCCAGATACAAGAGAAGCCCTGAGTGACTCCTCCTAGACACCAGCTCCTTTATCTCTTCCCAGAGGTAACCACTATCTTTAACTTACTGTCTGCTTATTACCTGTTTACATATTTTTGTTATATAAGAATGGATCCATAGAGACCTATGTCCACCTAATATTTGATAAGGGAATAGGACAGAATAAAGACAGCAAATGGTGCTGGCAGAATTGGCTATCCATATACAGAAAACTGAAGCTAGATCCTTTATATCACCCTGCACCAGAATCAATTTTAAATGGATCAAAGACCTCAATGCAAGGCCAAATACCAGGAAAATATTACTACAGGAAGAAGGGGAAATACTAGGGCTCCCCTCTGGAAAGCGGTCTGGAAGTTCCTGAAAAGACTAAACATAGGGGCTGGGAAGGTGGCTCAGTGGTAGAGTGCTTACCTTGCATGCATGAGGCCCTGGGTTTGATTCCTCAGCACCACATAAGCAAAAAGCCGGGAGTGGTGCTGTGGCTCAAGTCGTAGAGCGCTAGCCTTGAGCTGAAGAGCTGAGGGACAGCGCCCAGGCCCAGAGTCCAGGCCCCATGACCGGACCCAAAAAAAAAAAAAAAAAGACTAAACATAAAGCTTCCCTATAACCCAGCAATTCTCCTCCTGGATATTTATCCAGTAGACCATAAACAAGGCCATACTAAAGCCATCAGCACAACCATGTTGATTACAGCATTGTTTACCATAGCCAAGACAGCACTGTTTACCATAGCCAAGACACCGATTCAACTCAGATGTCACTCAGCAGACATATCAATCAAGGAAATATTGTATTATATACACAATGGAATTCTTTTTTTGGGGTGGGGGGGTCCAGTCGTGGGGCCTGTACTCTGGGCCTGGGCGCTGTCCCTCAGCTCTTCAGCTCAAGGCTAGCGCTCTACCACTTGAGCCACAGCGCCACTTCCGGCTTTTTCTTTTTGCTTATGTGGTGCTGAGGAATCAAACCCAGGGCCTCAGGCATGCAAGGCAAGCTCTCTACCACTAAGCCACCTTCCCAGCCCATACACAATGGAATTCTACGCTTCTATCAGAAAGAATGACATTGCCCCATTTGAAGGAAATGGAAGACTTGGAAAAAATTATATTAAGCAAAGTAAGCCAGACCCAAAGAACTACAGGGCACATGGTTTTCCTCATTTTTTGCAACTGGAATGTGCCTATAAATCTACAAGTAAATACACTGGATGGTGAAAATCCAAAAACATACACTTGGGACTCATACAAGACCCTAGACATTCACACCAATGAGACCAAAGGAGAATATTCTTAGGAGTGGATCAAAAAAGTTCAATAGCTATGGGCATTTGATCATATAAAAATGATGTTTATCGAAATGAACTCCAAGAAATGCAAACGAGGTTTTATGTTATGTTGCTTCTTGGGTTTTTTTTCTCCTTTGTCACTGTTTTTGATTTCTGTACCTTTTGTCTTATATGTAAGTTTATCTATTTTAGGGGAGAGGAAGGGAAACACAGAAATAGGACAAAGAGTAAACAAATGCAGCAATGATACTCACTAGACAGTATGTTGGAAATGAGCTATGAAACTTTAGGAGGAGGGAAGTCAGAAGGGGAAAAACTGAGAGAATGAGGGAGAGGATGAAACTATTCAAAAAGAAATGTACTCATTACCTGAATCATGTAAATACAGTAGCATAGCCCGGCGCGGTGGCTTACGCCTGCAGTCCTCAGGAGGCTGACATGAGGATCATGGTTCTAAGCCCAGGCAAAAAACCATCAGAAAATTGGAGGTGGTGCTGTGGCGCTGTGGCTCAAGTGGTAGAGTGGTAACCTTGAGCAGATGAGCTCAGGGACAGTGCCCACGCCCAGAGTTCAAGCCCCAGGACCAAAAAACAAAAACAAAAAACAGTAACACGTCTCATGGTTATTTTTACTAATTTTACTTATTTTGAAAACATTACACATTTGAAAACGTTACATATAATACACCAAAATCTCCTGCCACCTTGGTTACCTGTCCTTGAGTACTCTATGCTGTGTATTTTTTAAGAAACAGATTGTATTATTCTCTCAAAAATACACTTGTGAATGTGTGTGTGCGCGTGCACGCGCGCGCACGCTACTGGGGGCTTGAAGTTAACTGTCTAGCCACTGTTCCTGAGCTTTTGTGCTTGACTAGCACTCTACCATTTGAGCCACAGCTCTACTTCCAATACACCTATTTTTGAAATATATAAGCAATTCATTTACGGAAGACACAGCCAGCTCAATAAAGTGACCATCACCTCTAGAAAAATTCACAAAAACTGCCAATTTAAAATTATAATAAGATTAACTATGTGTGTGTGTTTGAACTCTGCTTTCTAGGCAGCCACTCTTGCCTGCCTCTTGAGCCATACTTCTAACCCTTTTTGCTCTGGAACACAGGTTTTCACTTTCTGCCCAGAACATGGACAATAGTCCTCCTATTGATACTTTTTTTTGGTCATTTATGGGGCTTGAACATTGGGCCCGGGTGCTGTCCCTGAGCTCTTCAGACCAAGGCTAGTGCTCTACCACTTGAGTTACAGAGCCACTTCCAGTTTTCTGGTAGTTAATTGGAGGTAAGTTTCATAGATTTTCCTGCCTGGGCTAGCTTTGAACCATGATCCTCAGATCTCAGCCTCCTGAGTAGCTAGGATCACAGGCATGAGCCACCGGCGCCAGGCTCTATTTATACTTTTCTTGATGGGTAGATTGATTCATCTATCACCTCACGCAATCTTTGTCAGTTGTGAGGCTTGAACTCTGGGCCTGGGCACTGTCCCTGAGCTCTTCAGCTCAAGGTTAGTGCTCTATCACTTGAGCCACAGTGCTACTCCTAGTTTTCTGGGGTTAACTGGAGATAACAGTCTCACGGACTTTCTTGCCCAGGCTGGCTTTGAACCTCAATCCTCAGATCTCAGCCTACTGAGTAGCTATGATTACAGGTGTAAGTCATCAGTGGCACCCAGCTTCACCCATCTTTTTCAGATGAGAGAGAGTCTCATGTACTTTTTGTTGTTATTGTTGGTCCTGGGGCTTGAATGCAGGGCCTGGGCACTGTCCCTGGTCTCTTTAGCTCAAGGCCAGTGCTCTACCACTTTGAGCCACAGTTCCATTTCCTGTTTTCTGGTGGTTTATTGGAGATAGTCTCAAGAACTTTCCTGCCCTTTGCACCCTGATCATCAGATCTCAGCCTTCTAGGTAGCTAGGATTACAGGTTTGAGCCATCAGTGCCTGCTTCTCATGCATTTTGTCCAGGATGGCATCAAATCTAAATCCTTCGGATCTCAACCTCCCTAGTGACTAGGATTATAGGCATGAGCTACTGTGTCAGCTAAAACCTCTTTGTTCATCCATATTTTTATAACTAAGAGAGGGTACAGAAAGAATTTGCAGGAACCTAGGCTGACATCTTGACAACCAGAAGAAACACAATACTTCATAAATAATTCAGCATAATCCCAAACTAACCCTTATTTTGTTTACATTTTCAAAATGATGTTATTAAGGAGCCAACTTCTTTTAACCTGTAACAAAAACTAAACCACAATAAATTTACAACCTCCTCTTCCCAACAAATTAAATGTAACCAGGAATGACATACTGAGAACTGTCATATTTTCTTGGAGATTCCATTACTTTCTTTTTTCTTTTTAACTGAACTTGGGACTCCCAAGTATTCTACCACTTGAGGTACACCATTAACCTATTTTTTAATGTAAAATTTACTAATTTGTACAGCCATTTTAAATCATCTCTACTGAAATACATGGCAAATCTTATTACTCCAAAGAATTATTGTCAAGCTAAGGCTGGTGTTAGGGCTAGAAACATTACCATGGCCTTCTCCCAGAGCCTGTATTCTCATTCTCTAGCACTAATAATCACTAATAATCCACATTTCTTTGTAGATAGGTGTCTACCCTCTTGTCTACTCCTATTCAAGTACTTGAAAATAAGATGCTCCTCCAAACATGCCTATCCAATGGTGGATCACATCCATAAGTTAATTGCCACTTTGTATCCCTGGCCAAAAGGATCTAGGGAGTCAATAAGACTCACAAACAAGGTAGGCTGTTTCCTGGCTAAACAGAGGACAATAGGGGAAAAAGGAGTGTGAGGAGAGGTGGGTTCCCTTACTTGCTGGCAAAAACCGTAACAACTGTCCATTTTAAAACTTTGAGGCTACACATAGTAACCCAGTGCTTGGGAAGCTGAGGCAGGAGGACCATTAAGTTCAAGGTCCGCTTGAGCTCCATGAAGAGGCCCTGTCTGAAAAATAAACGATAGCAAACTGGTTGAAGATTTTGACCAATATCAACTAATACATTTTTGAACAGATATAATTTTAAACATAAAAGTCTCTGGTACCCTAACTAATGGACTCTCTTATTTGGGGAGTTAGTTGACTTTGACAGAATATAGTATTTCATGAGAGAAGTGGGTGGGTGGAGAAGCGAAGGTTAAGGAAAAGCAGAGTCACTGGAGAGATTCATGTCACCATCGCATCACAGACCAAATCCATAAAATGAAGGTTTCCTTCTTCCTTTCCAAACTGCTGTGCCAAGAGCACTTCTCCATACAAAAAAGAGACCTAAGACCACTCAGGTCCTTATCAGGAAAATGAGATGAATGTCATAATCTAAGCAGAACTTTCAGAAAGGTTGAGGGCCTCAAAACTGCCTCATCAGGATTTTCGGAGCTCTAAAGAGTATGTCTTACAAACTAAAAAGCAGTTCATAACTGCTAACAAGAAACATCATAGCTAAAATTAAATACTTAGGAGGCTGAGGCCAGGAAAATTGCAAGTTGGAAGCCAGCAGCTAGCCCCGGGGAACACAGCAAGACTGTCTCAAAAATAAATACGTAAATAAAATTACACATTAAAAAAAAAAAAATGAGAGGCTAGGAATGTGGCTTAGTGGTAGAGTGCCTGCCTAGCATGCATGAAGCCCTGGGTACCACATATACAAAAAAAAGCAGAAAGTGGTGCTGTGACTCAAGTGATAGAGAGCTAGCCTCGAGCAAAAGAAACTCAGGGACAGTGCTCAGGCCCTTAGTTCAAGCTCCGGGACTGGCAAAAAGAAAAAAAAGAAGGGGCCGGGCGCTGGTGGCTCACGCCTGTAATCCTACCTACTCAGGAGGCTGAGATCTGAGGATCGTGGTTCAAAGCCTGCCCGGGCAGGAGAGACTGAGACTATCTCCAATAAACCACCAGAAAACCGGAAGTGGCGCTGTAGCTCAAGTGGTAGAGCGCTAGCCTTGAGCTGAAGAGCTGAGGGACAGTGCCCAGGCCCAGAGTTCAAGCCCCACGACTGACAAAAAAAAAAAAAAGAAGGGAACAAAAACATGTTGCTGGACTAACACAAACCCATCCTAACAGCTGTGTTACCATCCCCAGGCGTGCACTTCTTCTTCCCTACATTTTTGACCTTGCAGATTTTTAGAAAAAGGTTTATGCGTTTATTTGTTACCCTGTGGACTATGGCCATTTTCCAGTTTTATGAAACTCTGGGAAAGGGCAAGAGAAAAAAGAGGGCTCTCTTCTCTTTTGAGCTAAAATCAGAAATGTTTTCTTTAGCTCTGGGAGGACAAGCGTCCGTTAGTTCGACGCATCGATTTCCAAGAACTTATCCTTTTGAGTCAAATATTTACTAAGAGCTTACTCTACGCAAATCAGAGATTTTCACAGCACTACGCACGGGTTGTTCCCTTTGATATCACCTCCAAGCTTCCTTTCTCCAACACCTCAATAACCACGAGCAGTATTTTGAAGATGAAAACTAAGAAGTATGCCTCACGAAGCTTGCAATTAAAACTTTCTTTTGCAGGGGGTGGGGGAGCAGGAAAACTGCAAGTGTTTGTGCCGGAGAGCAAGCCCGTTATTTCGGAATAATACGGGTGTTATTACATAAGAATCTGAGATTCTGCATTTATCTTAGTCAATTAAAAAAAAAAAAAAGGTGTGTCTCGGAGTGCTTCCTAAACAGCCCTGAAAATGGGCAGAAGCCAGCCGCATTACCGGACCAAGCGAGGGGCAGAAGCCAGCCGCATTACCGGACCAGGAGCGGGGCAGAAGCCAGCCGCACGACCGGACCAGGAGCGGGGCAGAAGCCAGCCGCACGACCGGACCAGGAGCGGCCCCGCGCCCTCGGCCGTCGCTGACCGGCTTGGTGCACCGCACCCCGAAAGGAAAGCACCCCGGCGCCGACAGGACCGCGTGCAGAACGCCGGCCCGGCGGGCGGCCCGGCCCGCTGCGCACGCCCGTGGACGCCCCGGGACCGAGCCGCGGTCCGTTCCCACGGCGGAGCGGCCTGGCTGGGAAGAAGACGCGGCACGCTCAGGAAGCCTCGGGGACGCGCCGAGGGCCGTCGGGGAAGCGAGGGGCTGGCCCCCGTCCCCGGGCCCGGCCGACGCCCGCCCGCCCGCACCTGGCCGAGTTCGCACCTGGGGCCGACCCCGCCCCTCGCCCCGGGCGCCGCGCCGCGGCCCCGCCGTCGCCATGGCGACCGCCCCCGCCCCCCACCGGGCCGCGCCGCGCCGCAGCCCCGCGGCGGCCTCGGGCTCGGCGCCCTCCGGACCCCGGACGCGGGGCGCCGAGGCCGGGGACGCGGGGCGCCCGGGGAGGATGAGCTGGGGCTGGGGAGGAAGGCGCTCCGATCCGGGCGGCGGCCGAGCCTCGCCCCGCGGGTCCTCACCCTTCACTTTCCCGAAGGTGCCGACGCCCAGCGTGTCGCCCAGGATGTAGTGGCCGATCTTCACCCGCCCGTCGTGCTTCTGCTTCTCGGCTGTCGCCATCTTCCTCCAGGAACTGAGTCTGCGCATGGCGCCGCGGGAGGGGGCGGAGGGGGCGGGCAGGGCCGGCGGGGGCGGGCGGGCGGGGCGGGGGTGGGGACGCGGGAGGGCCGCGGCCAGCCGCCGCCCTGCGCCGCCCGCGCCGGGCCCGCAGCCGGCCGCTGGGCTCAGACGCTCCCCCTGGCGGGGCGGGCTGCGGGGCGCCGGGAGGGTCCGCGGGAGGGGCGGCGGCGAGGACGCGGGAGTGTGTGCGGGAGGGGCGGGCTGCGGGGCGGCGGCGAGGGCGCGGGGAGGGCTGCGGGAGGCGGCGAGGGCGGGGGGGAGGGCGTGCGGGGGCCGGGGGGCGGGCGGCGCCGCCCTGAGGCTCTCCGGGAGGCTCGCCCCGCTTCCTTTCGGCCCGAGCGCCCGTCCACCTGCACGCGGGAAGGGAGTTTCCCCTCGTTCGCTGGCTCCTCCGGCCCGGCTGCGGTCTCTGCCCTCCGGGGGTCCCCGCAGTACCGCCGGGGAGTCAGGTGGGAAGGGAGGGGGGCGAGGACTCGGTCAGGGCCGGTAGGGTGCCCCCGAACTCGCCGGGCCGGGACACCGCCCTGCGGGTGTCCTAACCTTGATCTTGTGTGCTTGTAGGAATTCTAGAAGCCACCGGAGTTTTCCCTTCTACTTTTCCCTCCTCCCACGACCGGCCACTCCGTGGCTGTTGGGCGCCAGGACGGCCCCAGCCTGTGGTCGTGGCGCCCTGGGAGCTGCTCTGGTCTCTGTTCGGTTGCAGGTCGCAGGCTGCAGGTGCGGTGGGACAGCGCGGGTACTCGGACCGGTAGGGCTTAACGTGTACTGAAATTTGTGTTTTTAAATTGTCAGTGAGACACTTTTCCACTTTTACCGTTGCGTCCTGCAGATCATTTGACAGATGTTTATTGCATCTGCAGTTGACCTCGGCCCTTGTCTATATAAACAGAACCGTAACATTCCCTATGATATCTAGGGAACGTAAATTCTGCTTTTTTTTTTTTTTTTAGTAGAATTTTCAAGAGAGTTGTTTGTTACTCAGTTCCTCTCATTTGAACTAGTGTCAGTAGGCAAAAATTCACCTTCCACCAAATAGTATCAAAAACAAAAGACTGAAAATGCCATTTCTTTAATCCCAATGATAATTAACTCTCCTTTTTGTTTATGAAACCAAAGGAACATACATTAAGCATTGTTTAGGTCCAAGGAAAGTACTACATGGGGAAAGAGAAGTCCTAGTCTTGAGCTTAGAAATATATCCTAGGTAGACCACAGTGCAACCAGCCTTCCTTGATCGAGTTCTACTGTACATGACAGACTACACTTAGAAGGATTTAAAAAAAAGAAGAGGAAATCTTTGATTAGTGATCTATTTGGGCAACGGGCAGGAGAATCAACACATTCCTCACATCCACCTCCTTGCCTTGTGAGTTTCTGCAACTTGGGCCTCTGGTGTCACTACCAAGCAGAAATCTTTTCCAGGTTCCATGGAGGGGGTGCGCCAGAAATTAACTTTTGACTTCACCAACCCCTGAAATAGCATCTTAAATTCCTTCAAACTTGCATCATGTCTAGAATTTGTATTAGGAAGTTTTTTACTGTTTGTTTTAACCTAAAGAAAAGAAAATAACCTCATCTCTGTGCCAGTTAAAACATTAAAGCTCTTACAAAGGTCCAAACTGAAGGTGAATTTTGCAAATTTATTTGCAGTCTCTGAAAATATGAAGAATTAAAAATGTAATGCCTTGGGGTGGGAGTGGGGGACAGAAACATCAGCTTGTTTTGGTTTTGTATTGTCAGATCTATTTCTACCTAATAAACAGAATTGAAAGCATTCTTGGAGGAACAAAAGGCCTAGAGTAATAGATGAGAAAGCTGGGCAGGAACTTAGTGGTCTTCTTATCTGTCTTACCAGACTCCATTTAAGCAGTTCAAACTGCTCAGTTTTTTTAGGTGGGTTTTTTTTCTGGTTTTTGTTTGTTGTTGGTTGTGGGACTTGCACACAGAGCCATGGCACTGTCTCTGAGCTTTTTTGCACAAGGGTAACATTCTACCACTTTGAGCCAGTGTCACTCTGGTTTTCTGGTGGTTAATAAGATCCATGATCCTCAGCTCTCAGACTCCTGAGTAGCTAGGATCACAGGTGAGAGCCACCGAGCCAGCCTTTTTTTCCCCTTCCTTTCTTTCTTTCTTTTTTTTTTTTTTTTTTTTTTACTTTTTTTTTTTTTTATTGTAGAGCTACTATACAGAGGGTTACAGTTACATGAGTGAGGTTATGAGTACACTTCCTCTTGAACATTGTTACCCCCTCCGTTGTTTTCCCCCTACCATCCCCTCCCTCCCTCCCTTCCCCGAGGTTCTTTTTTTTTTTTTTTTTTTTTTTTTTTGATTGTGATTAAATGATTACATAATTTCAAAGTCACAAGTTCATTCTAACTTCCCTGGAGCAAATTGTCTACCACAGTCTGTAATATATAATAGTGTTCACATGTTATATACCATATTTGTGATCAGCAGCATGAGGATATTTAGTAGTGGTTCAACCAGATGAGCGGGAGTTCTTTGTTTCTTAAGTCCTGTTAGTTTTGTCGTATCACCTAACCTTTTGGATTTAGCATCCACTTATGAGGGAGACCATGTACCGTTTGTCTCTTCGTTCTTGGCTTACCTCGCTCAACATGATTCCTTCTAGCTCCATCCATTTCCCTGCAAATGCCATTATTTTGTCATTTCTAATGGCTGCATAATATTCCATTGTGTATAGATACCACAATTTTTGGATCCATTCATCTGTGGTGGGGCACCTACGTTGTTTCCATATCCTAGCTATTGCGAACAGTGCTGCAATAAACATGGAGGTGCACGTGTCCTTGTATATTGGTTCCTGTTGTTCAGGGTAGATGCCTAGAAGTGGTATGACTGGGTCGTAAGGGAGGTCAATCTTTAGCTTTCTAAGGACCCTCCAGACTGCTTTCCAAAGTGGTTGTATAAGTGTACATTCCCACCAGCAGTGTAATAGGGTTCCTCTTTCTCCACATCCCCTCCAGCATTTGTCGTTGGCTGATTTGTGGATGTGGGACATTCTGACTGGGGTAAGGTGGTATCTCAGGGTTGTCTTTATTTGCATTTCCTTCACCACCAGGGATGATGAACATTTCCTCATGTGTTTCTTTGCCATTTTTATTTCTTCATTTGAGAAGTCCCTCTTTAGTTCCCTTGCCCATTTAGTAATTGGTTTGTTAGGTTTGGGAGGGATTAGTTTCTTGAGTTCCCTGTATATACAGGATGTTAACCCCTTGTCTGATATATTGCTGGTAAATATTTTTTCCCAATTAGTTGGTTGTCTTTCTAGCTTAGTTGCGATAGATTTAGCTGTGCAGAAGCTTTTTATTTTAAGGTAGTCCCATTTGTCGAGTCTCTCTCCAACTTGTTGTGACCCTGGGACTCTGTTCAGGAAGTTCCTTCCTGTGCCTATTAGTTCAAGTGTCTCTCCTACTCTGTCCTGCAGTAGTTTCAGAGATTCAGGTTTAATGTTAAGGTCTTTAATCCATTTTGAGTTGATGTTAGTGCATGGTGATAGGCTGGGGTCCACTTTTAGTTTTCTGCATGTGGCTGCCCAGTTTTCCCAGCACCAGCGGTTGAAGAGGCTGTGTTTCTTCCATTGTATGTCTTTGGCTCCTTTGTCGAATATCAGCTGGCTGTAGGCCTGTGGATTTATATCTGGATCTTCTATTCTGTTCCATTGGTCTTCGGGTCTGTTTTTGTGCCAGTACCATGCTGTCTTTGTGATTATAGCTCTGTAGTAGAGTTTGAAGTTCGGCATGGATAGCCCTCCCATATTGTCTTTATCCCCTAGAATTGTTTTGGCTATTCTAGGTCTTTTGTTGTTCCATATAAATTTTTGGACTGTTTTCTGTATTTCAGTGATGTACGTCATTGGGATTTTAATAGGAATTGCATTGAATTTGTATATTAGTTTTGGAAGTATCACCATCTTTACTATATTAAGTCGGCCTATCCAGGAGCATGGGAGGTCTTTCCATTTCCTAGTGTCTTCTGCAATTTCTTTCTTTAACTTTTTATAGTTCTCATTAAATAGTTCTTTTACATCTTTGGTTAGGTTAATTCCTAAATATTTTATTTTTTGGGAGGTTATTGTGAATGGGGTTGCTCCCTTTATTTCCCTCTCTTCCTGTGCGTTATCAGTGTATAGGAAGGCAACTGATTTTTGTGGGTTTATTTTGTATCCTGCTATTTTGCCGAAGTGACTTATGATTTCTAAAAGTTTGGGGATGGAGTTTTTGGGATCGTGGAGGTATAGTATCATGTCGTCTGCAAAAAGGGATAGTTTCACTTCTTCTTTCCCTATGCGGATCCCTTTAATGTCTTTTTCTTGCCTTATTGCCCTGGCTAAGGGTTCTAGGACTATGTTGAAGAGGAGTGGAGACAGTGGACATCCTTGCCTTGTTCCTGTTTTTAGGAGGATTGGTTGTAGCTTTTCCCCATTAAGTATAATATTGGCTATTGGTCTGTCATAAATGGCTTTTATTGTTTTTAGAAATGTTCCTTCTATTCCTATTTTCTCCAGAGCTTTTAGCATGAATGAATGTTGAATTTTATCAAAGGCCTTTTCTGCATCTGTGGCGATAATCATGTGATTCTTGACCTTGGCTCTGTTGATATGCTGGATTACATTTATTGACTTACGTATGTTAAACCATCCCTGTGTCTCTGGGATGAAGCCTACCTGATCATAGTGTATTATTTTTTTTATGTGTTTCTGGATTCTGTTAGCTAGAATCTTGTTAAGGATCTTTGCATCTGTGTTCATCAAGGAGATTGGCCTGTAATTCTCCTTTTTGGTTGGGTCTTTGCCTGGTTTGGGGATGAGTGTGATATTGGCTTCGTAGAATGAGTTTGGGATAGCTCCCTCCTTCTCTGTTTCTCTGAAGAGCTTGAGGAGTATGGGTATTAGTTCTTCTTTAAAGGTCTTATAGAATTCTGCTGTGAATCCATCTGGTCCTGGG